CACACACACGCACACACACACACGCACACACACACGCACGCACACACACGCACGCACACACACACTAGTTCTGCATTCATTCAGCAGCGAGCACTTCAGGACAAAATGAGGAAGAAAATGAAGACAGAGGGAACTGTGGTAAACACAGAGGGACAGCAGATCAGGGGCCTCTGAGGCTCAGTAATTAAAGGGCTATATTGACAAGCACAGCACAGTCCACTTCCTGCCCCCACACGGCCAGCCCTCCCCTCATGACCGTAAAACTCACCATCCTGCCCCGAGGCTCTAACGTACCGCAAGATTAGCACTGAGCCTCGCACCATTACAAACTCTCGAGTCTGTTTACATTAAACAGTTATTTAACACTAATCCAAATCTGGTGGATCCTGAAAGCACATGACAAATCTGGCACCTAGATGCATTTTCCTCCCTTTCCTTTCTTTTCCAAAAGCACTACATGAAGGGCAGACTGTGTTATCAGACTGCTGTCATCACTAACTCTGGAGAGAGCAGGGAGTCCATGCTCCGATGAATAATTCATGCGTTTGAGTCCACTCAGTCAGAGCCCTATTGATAAACAAAAGAGGCTCTGAAAAAAAAAAAAGCCAGTCGATTAACCTGTTTGCGCAAAGCCCCTGTACCTTCTCTTCCCTCCCTTTTCATTTTCTCTCCGTCTCTCTCACAGCTGGAGATAAGTGCCTGACAGAACCTTTCAGAAAATGCAGTGTCTGTGAGAGAGACATGTGGCCCAGACACACACACACATACACACTCGGAGTAGCTGATGGATTGTGCATGCTGTTCCAATTCACCACCCTCACACTGATACCATTAACCTTGTGAGGCCTCAGGGTGAGAACAATAAAGGGCCTCTTCAAACTGAGCCCTCCTCATATGACTATACATCATATCACTACTAATGACATCAAGAGATAGAGAAATAGAGGAAATGGGGGTGCTGCCTGGTATCTCTTTTAAAATGCATACATTTCTTAACCTCACTTTCACAACCAATCGATCAGTTGCAGAAAAAAAACCCATACAGGCTGACAACAATTAGGACTGCCTGTGATGCCAACCATTCACATCAATTACTAAAAGAGGTTAAATAACTTTTCCTGCTGGACACGGCTGACCTAGTGACCTTTATCTGGCCAGGTCTCCATCTTTCTCTTGCTTATCCTTTTATTTTTAGTTCTGTTGCGTGCAAACACCACTTTCTGCCACTTTTATTTATAGGGGCAGCATAGGAAACAAAGAGACAAAAAGGGAACAGAATGAACAGGAAATGGATTCAGACTTGCACAAGCCAGATTCAACCATGCACTAATAACTATGCCTCTAACTACAGTAATCAATTTAATCATACGTATTACTACTCAAACTGTACGCTTGCATGTTTTTATGCACGCACCCGTTGCAATATCTGCAAGAAACCTTCCATGCCATTATCATCTTTCTGACCAGAAGAATTTGTCTTGTACAATAAATATAATCACACAAATGAAACCCACGCAATGTACAATGAAAAGAATATGGGGTCCGAGAAGATCACATACCTGTTTATGCATTTCAATGTTCAGCCCATAGGACATCTCATAATACTGCAAGAAAAAAAAAAAAAAAAAAGAGAAATGCATTTAGCACACAATAGTATAATGCTATTGACTGCAGTAGTGCAGAGTATCACCTATATAATGCACCCAATTTATTACCTAGTTTAACACCCATGAAAAAACGTGTACACAAAGCTAGGACTCCGATAATTGCCTGATTATAGGAGTAGAGAGCAATGTTTATGAATCTCTCTAGCAACATTTGTTTAGTGGCATTTACTCACTACTAGCATTCATGAAAGCACACTTTTTATAACAGTTACTAAACAGTTGTTTAAAAAAATTAACTATGCAAAGATTGACAAATAAGCATCTCATCCACCATTATTTACCCTCCCTTTCCTCACTGTTCTTCCTTTCAAAATACTGCAAGAAAAAAAAAAAAAAAAAGAGAAATGCATTTAGCACACAATAGTATAATGCTATTGACTGCAGTAGTGCAGAGTATCACCTATATAATGCACCCAATTTATTACCTAGTTTAACACCCATGAAAAAACGTGTACACAAAGCTAGGACTCCGATAATTGCCTGATTATAGGAGTAGAGAGCAATGTTTATGAATCTCTCTAGCAACATTTGTTTAGTGGCATTTACTCACTACTAGCATTCATGAAAGCACACTTTTTATAACAGTTACTAAACAGTTGTTTAAAAAAATTAACTATGCAAAGATTGACAAATAAGCATCTCATCCACCATTATTTACCCTCCCTTTCCTCACTGTTCTTCCATCTCTAAGAAACATTTATTTTCATTGAAAATTTCATTTCAGTTCCATCATAGGCATCTCTGTCAATTCAAGAGAAAAGTGGTTTTCTATACTCAAAATAGCCGTTCAGACTATGTTCATCTGAACAACTACTGAAAACTTTTTTTTTTCTAAGAGCATGGCTGTGTATTTCATTTCGTTTATCTGGTAGTGGCCTTTTTACCACTCGGCATTCCTCCAAAAAATAATATTTAACAAAAGTGCCGGCACGTTGAGTCAATATCTACTGCATGTTCAAATAAGATAAGAGAGAGTAGAGCTCGGTTAACACTGTTCAACCTGTGCACTATTACATCACATCCTGATGGAATTCAGTTTCCACTCACTGGACTTCTAATAAGAGGCGTTCAGCCACACTAATATTAGTGTAATTCCCGAATCGCACACAAGGGTCAATATTGAGTGAGACTGCAATCATCCTGAAGGTTGATAACGTTTCATCTGGGTCAGGTCTCTATGTAATTTAAGACAAAAACAACTATACACACCTCCACTGAATAAATGCATGAATTGGTTGATTTTTAATTCGTTAGCTGACAAGATCTTTGTTGTTTACATTCACTGCACATTATCATCATCAAATTATTTAATCTTGACAAATTATTTACACTGGTCTCTTAAATGCTGTTTGCTCCAAAAATCCAAATCTGATTAAACTGAGCAAGTCTGCCTTTCTCTCACACGAATCAAGAGACACTCAGCACCTCGGGTCAGAGTGGAAGGAACAAGCAGTAACTCCCTGCCCAAAACAGCCTCCAGGCATTTCACAACAAATAAAAACACCCACTCTTATAATCTCAACACTGATCCTCCAGTGCAATCAATGCAAATGCTATCACACAATAAATAGGGGTAGTGGATACTAAACACCAGCTCAGATAGCTGGCTGGTGACCCTATTGATCTTTTCAGAGGAACAAAAGATCAACAGATAGAAGACCTCGGATAAAAAACAAACCACATCTTGCTCTTACCATGACATAATGCCGCTGCATCTCGGTCTTCTCATTGGCCAGTTTGTCATACTCCACTTTAAGACTAAGTAGAGAGAAAGACCATTATGAGTTCCGTTCCTGGATGGCAAAGCCACTTAAAGATCTCTAGGTGGTCACATACACATGCAACTTATTGATATATTATGTACTTATGCAGGGACAATTACATATACAAATATGAAACTATAAACAGTTAGTTAGAGTTACTACACAGACACAGGTATATTACGTACAACATTGTTATAGTTACTTTTCAACAACTGCAAAGTTTAAGGTTGCACTAATGCTGCATTTGATTTACACAGAATCAAAGCAGCATCAGAGCCGCCTCAGAGTCTAGTAACAGGTGTGAAATGAGTCACAGCCATATTTACCTGTGGTACTGAGCTTGAAGGAACTGGAATTCATCTTTGATCCTGTCACAAGATTCTGCTACAGTGAATTTGAAGCCTGGCTGACCAGGCTGGTGAGGTGCCTGAAAAAAATATCAATCAATTATGTGAACTGTTGCAAAGGATAAACTTCATGTTACTAATACAATCCAACCTAGTCACTGAAGCAGTATGCTATTACTCCAACAACAGTGTTTTTAGTATGCCATTGTACCTTTGACTTCCTACCACCATTACCAACACAACCTACGACCTTCTCCATTACTCCTTTTACGGCAGTCCATAGGTTTCAGGTTTTACTTTCACTGTGTTTTTGAGCAAGTCATGGGTATAACCACGGGTGTCAATAACACATTTCATGCTTCCCGATTTTCAGGGAAATGATATTTCATAGGAGCTGAACTGCGGTTTGTCAGAAGTGCCAGGCGCTCCCTCGAGCTCGGCCTGTCGATGGTTTTGAGCCTCCAACACTCAGCAGCGGTCGGCGTGACACAGACGGGTCGCTGCGTCTAAACAGCCCCGGAGAAAAACGAGCAGCTGACTCCCCTCCTTTCATTTTTTCTAAACGTTTTTCCACTTTAAAGTGAAATGAAAACGCACTACTGTTCAGAAGCAAGTTATCGGACGTCCAGAGGAGTACATCCTTATTTAGTTTGTGCAGAAATAAAGGACCGAGGCGAGGGAGACGTCACGCGACACAATAGTGCTCAACGGAGAAGGTAAACGCGCTCTTGCGCGGAGCTGCCTGAACACAATGCATCAATATAATTTATGTTACTCACCGGATGCCGGCCCTGCGGATACATCCTGAATGTATCCTTTCTGAGGTGAAGATCCAGGGATGTGGCGCTCTTCAGTAATCCGAGTAGACGAGCGAGAGCCCGTCGGTCACCCCTCCCTGCACTCGCGGACACACAAAGCCCAGTCCGTCCACCGCTTCTCCCGCTCCTTATACCCGATTTAACCCCGTTATCCTTCACACACAGCCGAGGAACAAGACAAAAACACAGCGCGCTGGCTCATTATCTCCAATAAGATTCAAGCATTCAGCTGCGCGTGCTGCAAACACAATAGTTGTATAGAGCGAGTCAAACGCACATTTGCTGCTTGTCATCTGCGCTGCGAGCTGCGACTAACAAGCTGCTTACGAGTCTTCTCGCAATAACAAGATTACCTGACTGCTGTTTGCTTGAATGTAACCCGACAAGATTACAGAACAATGTAAAACACGCTAGATAAGACAAAGCAACAGAACCCCGATCAACTTAGAGCAGATTTCTCGATAAATGGGTCAAAAATTAATTACACTTATTCCGTTTAGAACAATGTCGAAGTAAATACGGCAATAGCAGCTTTGCAAATTACAAAACAGGAACTGAGAAAATAAAGCACGCAGGGTGTTGAATTGGCTAAATAAACAGTGGATTACAAGCGGATTCTTTTGAAAGTTATCTTCCGCGTTACCTTTAGTCTCCATAAAATCCTTTTCCACGAATGTAAATACAGCAATAATTCCTTGCACCGAGGAAACGTCGAAGTCCTCCACTCGTGACCTTATACGAACAGTATTAGGCACTGGTTGGGAATCAATCCCAACCCTAGAAAAGCAGCGCCTACAATCGCTTCGAGAATGTTTTCTTCAGTTAAGACTCGGTTCTCGCGTGAACACAGTTCGCAGTATTCCCGCTGTTGGTAAATTCTTCCAATCCCTATTTGCTTGTTTGTTTAAAAATGTCTGATTGTGAAAAGTTTGCCTCGTACGTGCCAGCCGCTCGCAATCGCTTTGCATAGTTTCTCCAACACTCGCAGTACCACACACAGACTGCCCACTGACACGCGGGCTCAACTACCGCGAGAATAAGCGAACGCAACCAATCAAAGCTCGGAAAGGACTTCACCGCGCCGACCAATCAAACGCGGGATCCCCACGTGGTGCACGTCTGTTCCGCTCGTGCTGATTGGCCAATAAAAACCTGACCTCATGTTCGCCATTTTGGCTCTAAATAGGTTGCTTTCCTCGGAGACAAACAACTTACATGAGCGACGATTGTTCGAAGTCTAGCCACCAACTGAAATCTCAAGAGATAGATTGTACTAGCCTAAGAAATACATATTACAAGCGAAATTGTCTGTTGCGCTTCTATTCACCTATTTATCAGCATGACTGCTGCGGTTTCAACGAAAAGCAGTGGAAAGTTGCATCAAATCTGGTTCTACTTGCTTTGACGTTTCATAAATGTTTTAATGCCATGTTTTCAATACACTGCGAATCCGTCACTGATGTAAAATAATATGTGAGCAGCTGATCGACTGATTTGAGCCAAAACATCCATCAAATGTCCCGTTTTATCCTTTCCAAGGACGTCTAGCACAGTGAAGCGAAAGAGCACCCTCATTGCCAATGTATAGTTATGCTACCGACTTTGAATGTAACTCAAATGAACAGCATAATCTGTGAAATCAGCCCTCATTACTTGATTCACGCTGTCTGCTCAGCAACACCCTCCATGCCCACGTCTGCGCCCGAAAAAAAACCCAACCTATCATGTGTTGCTCAGCCCCACGTGGGGCGCAGCTCCTTGTTCTGCGCCTGCTGACCAATCAGAGCACTTGCGTGTATCTGATTGGCTAAGAGCGACACGGGTTGTCAGTTCGAGACCTGAGTTGTCAATCAAGCCCACGAGGGGTAGAGCGCTGACAAATGCCTGTGCCTCTCAGCCTCCCGCCTGCGAATAGTGCTTGGAATGGCTGCTTAATTAGCTTCGAATGGCTTTTCCTTCCAGCTCAAACAATCTGTCACTACCATGTGGTAAAAAGAGCCCTGCGTAAAACAAAAGAGGGAAAAGCTAGTAGGGGCTAAATATCAGTTAGATTTTTTTTCTATGTATGCAAGTCGCATTACCACAAAACAAAACATTTATTCCACTCAAAGGCTGGTTCATCGTAGCCAACTGTGTCTGGCTTTATTTGTTTTCTCCAACTAGGGGTGTAATCTGATATGCTTAATAATCATCTGTGCTTATTTTTTTTTTTTTTTTTTTGATCATTAAAAAAAAATAATAGGCTATTAGACACTTGCGGTATAAAACAGTAATCCGGGGTACCTTAACATGGAAGGTGGAATGTACTTTTAAACGGACTAATTGGACACGTTTAAGATGTTTGCACCCAGGGACTTCAGGGTCATTTCAATACAAAGATCTGGGAAAAAAGCTAACCATTGTTCGATTAAACTGTAAACTTTTGTCCATCCCATTTGAGAGGATTATTGGCTGGAACAAATGTCTGGAGTGGAGCCGAGGATGGAGCATGGAGTCATACTGAGAGCCATTAATGACACACCACTGCTCTAACATTTAAGAGAACTACATTTTGTCAGTGCACAAATGTAATATTGATTCTTTCTCCTGGAATTACAAAAATGTTCAAAATGCTATACTGGGTTAATGGCAGACACACTTCTATGAACAGTAAGCTCTCTGCAAGCTACTTGTGTACCGTTTGTGTGTGCAGAGATAATAGAGATTTCCTGCTTGCTCAGTGACCCCTCACAAAAACGTTCTGTATAATACAACAAAAGTGTGAGTCAATGAGTTTTCAAGCCACAGACAAGGGCTACCATAGTCGTGTCAAGTCTATTTTGACGACCGTAGTAACAGCTGAAGATGACAGACTGCACTCCACCCCTCTTTTCAAATTACTGCCTGGGCTATAAAACCAAGTATTTGCCATATACCTGTAAGAGATTCATTTCAGCACAGATTTATGCGTTGCTATATAACCATTGCTAGAGGATGGAACTGATTTAGCTGTAATTATGGAGCGGAAACGCACAACAGTTTCATATCCAAGTGCCTGTTCATTCGCACCTTTGTTCTGACAAACACGCTTTGTATTTTCATGCTAATGCAGCTCCAAATGATAGCTGGCGGGATTATCCTCAGTATGTGAGAAATGTTTCTTTCTCAGTCTCTGCCTGCCTGTTTTTCATGCATGCAACCTTCCGCTACCTAGCTCTCTCTACTTTGCTTGATTTCCCTGGTAGTGGAGCAGAAAACTAGGTCCGACTCTGCATGGCGTGCATGTATTGTGGGGCACCTCTGTCTCTGGATTATTGACGTGCTTTCATACGTGGGATTGGGGCCTGAAAAGAGACATTCCT